CATTAACAATCTGTAGAATGAAACCACTCTCCGTCCAAAAACAGAAACACAAACCCAAAGACTTTGTTAGAGTTTAGCTTACCGAGGTTTATGACATGGAGCAGGCAGGCAGTTATCTTTGAGACCTCTGTTGAATGCGCGTACCATCCGTGCACCAGCATTAGGATGGTACGTGACAAAATTAGTTTTTCCCTTTTTAATCATGTTTCGCTAGTTCATAGAATTTAGGACTCGGTAACACAGGCCATGTCATAAACCCCGAAGACCCAAGCGGTGACCTGGCGCAAGACGACGTCACCAAGTCAGGGGTTTTTTTCCTAACGGTGAACAGTCAGTCACCCCCATCTCTCCCAGTTTCTCTCGGGAAGAACCCAGTTCTCCTTCCAGAAAAGACACACGCCAAGGGCGCAATGGAAGGGAGGACACGAGGAAAGGGAAACGGGAGTGCTGGGACCGGACAGGGTTTTTAGAGGAGTGACAGAAGAGAGATGATAGAGACAAGACAGTCAAAAGCGTCGCTCATTACTACGGTCCCAAAGCCGTTATCAACCTTTGGGTGGTCCTTCAAGAAAACTATAGACGGCACGTAGTGCAATATTCAGGGCTCGAGTACACCCTAACAGACTTCGTTTCATACCAGTGTGCAACGGTGGTCTCTGTAACAGCACTCTCGCGAAGAATATAATGGTATAATGGTGAAGAAAATGACGTGTAACTGTGCGATAATTTTTGCACGAGAACGAGGAAGCGTGTGAACGTTGATCGCAGGATGACAAATAACTCGTGCGAAATCTGCGCGCGGCAGAAACGCTTGCCTCTAATTAACTGAAAAAAAGATGAGTCTCGATCTGCCGGAAGCGCGCGTCCAAATGAGAAACGAGATAGTTTACTTAAAATCAGCAGTAATTGACGCAAAGCCAATTAATGGTTTCCTCGCTTGTACAGCCGCGAAGAATAAGGCTGTACATATTTTCACAGGCGATAAAAAATGAAATGAAACACAATCTAAGCTACCAACATGTGTTCCTAGATCTTTCGTTAAAGCAATCAAGAACCTCGGTGATTGATTCTAAATTAACAGAATCCGAAAAAAAGATACGTCTTTGCTTTTCCTTTCACCTGTCCACAGATTTCGGGGCCAGCGTTGTCTTTTACTTTCTACGCTGACGGCGACAGTGTAATTGTTCCGCGTGTTCGAAAAAGTTCGCCATCGTCGTACCGCAGGCGGCTTCGTTTTTGCCGCGACGCCACGCGGACTGATTAATAACACGGTGAAACGAGCGGCTAAACGGCGGAAGATTACAGGCCTAACACGTGTGGAACGATAAAAGAAAAATGTGCAAATAGTTGCTTCACCGATACAAATCACGTCACACGGCGTGTACGTAAAACTCGGAGAGCAGCGATGTAACGAAGAATTCCACGGCTAATGCACGAACTTTCCAGCCTTCGGATGGGATTTCTTCTCCGCGAGAACAGCACGCAAATCATACGATCCTCTCGATGGAAACACAGAAATCGTTTCACAGGCGTTTCGTTAAAATGTAATTTCCACGCGAACCACCGCCGCCTCTTTCTTCCTTTCTATTTCACCCGAGACGAAACGAGCGCCCCGTTTCCTCTCCGTTTAGCGCGACCGACGAAACGGGGAGACGATTCGCGGACGAGAAACGGGAAGTGCTTTTATACACAGGAAGGAGGGAAAAAAACGCGGAGGAGGCATCTACAAAGAGAAAGCGGATGCTCGAGTGAAGTGGAGAGGAAAAAAAAGAAGCGCCGCTGTGATATTTTCAGCGAAGAGTCGATGATTGTATACGTGTCCGAGCAGAGTAGCAGAGAGAGAGAGAGAGAGAGAGAGAGTTTCAATTGGCAGGAGGCATGATAAAAATCACGAGAAAGTATGGTTACACGAGGTTTTCTTTTTATATTAGTCGCATTAGCGGGGCAATTCCTGCGATTCCTCCGCGCTGCTGCGGAGAAGATCGCGCGGAGAGAGAGGAACCTCGTCGGAATGCGAGGAAATTATGCGTTCCAAAAGAGGAAGGGAATGGACGCGCACAGGTGAAATGGTACGAAATGGCTGTGGAAAGGATGCACTTGACTTAGGAAAAATAGGTCGAGCAACGATTTTTAAATACGGACAAGAATGCACCGTTCCGTGAACGGAGCCAACGAGTTCAAACAACGTGATCTTCAAATAGTCTCGAGTAAATTGAAGATCTGCGTGAGTATTTGCATGAACGTTTATCTACTTTCGATTCTCTCCAGGTTGAGGAACAGTTAGGTTATAAAAAAATGGGAAATACTTTCCAAATCCTTTTTTGGGTTGTTTAATAAAACGTGGACTGCATAATGAAGTTTTTATGGTTCACGGTAGAATGAAAGATTCGTGGTCACTTTCTTCATTGTGTTGGTAGTATTGTTAAAGAAGGAATTGATAAGTGAGGAGTTGGTATGGTGAACAATATTAGTTTTAAAAATAGTATACCAGAAATAAATTAATTTTGTACTCTGTTAACTCTTTGAAGCACAGAATTTTAAGACAAAAACAGACTCTAGTTGCGCAGAAGTTTTATTTTAAAAAAATGTAACAAAGTATGTTGAGATAATTAATTATTAGGTGGGACATAAATAATCTCACCGTGAAATTTGTGAAAACAGGTTAAATTAGTTTTGTTTTCTTAATGTTTCAAGGTGGGACGAAAAACACCCCACTGTGCATACGTAAGTACTAAAAAGGTGGGACACTTTTTACTATGCCCCAAAGAGTTAAAATCATTGAAAAAATGAAAAGAATTAAAAATTGTTAAATAAAGTATATTTTACTGTATACTTTATCAAACTGTTCCACAGACTGTGGTGCATAGTTGTCGAAATCATTGAAAAAATAAAAGGAATTAATAATACTTTATTTAATAACGTCATCCAATTCTTCCATATACTAAAATATAAAAAAAAAAATCAAATATAGATGCAAATGTAGCATTCCATCTGCGATTCAGCCACGCGAAAGCACCCAACAGGACCCCTATTCACGGAAAGAAACCCTTAATAACGTTCCCATCTGCCGCCCTCTCTCAAAGAGCCTCTCTTCGCCCTCAGAAAGGCCATTCTTCCCTCGCGCAACTCGACAGAACATCCCACCCCGGGTAAAGTCAACTTCCTCTCGAAAACCCAACTCGTATCTCGCATCGTCACGACCCACATACCTCCACCGCCTCACAATGGCATCCTTTCAGGGATCCCCGAGCGCGAACACCTTCATTCCGCGGTCGGTTAATCGTTGACAAAGCAGCGGCGGCGGAAATACAGTTAGATATCCGCGAGCCAGCTGAGCGCCTCGCGTGGAAAGGACAAACAGGACGAGCACAGAGAGAGAGGGTGAGAGAAAGAGTCCTCGAAGCACGTAAATAGACGCTGTTTGCGAGGATGCGGGGGCGTGTGAACCGAGCTTAAGGGGCCCACGTGGCGGTGGGTGTGTCCTGGCTTCCGCATACTCCTCCGCGGTCAACGCGCGTTATCTTCTCGCCGCGCGACACTGCGAGTTGGGCGCGTGTCGCGAGCCTACTTGGCCTAATGGATATTCTAATGGCTGGTCCGTGGTGGAACATAGTGTAAGCTGTTCAGGAGTTTGCCCCCGGGGCGGCACACGGGCAAGAAGGGCATTTCGCTCTTTCCAACTTTGACGCTCACTGTGACGCGATGGAATGGTAAAAATGCGTGTGATATGACTTTATGAGTGTGTCCTCTATGACCAATGAGAGCTGCAATTCTCCTGTTCGTCATCTTCTCGGTGTAGGACAGTACTGAGCGGTGCTCAGGAGTTTGCCCTCGGGGCGGTATACGGGCAGGAAGGGCATTTTGCTCGCAACACCTGAATCTTTAGTTGCGCGGTGCTATATGATGAGATTTGTCGACGATGTGTTTGGCCAATAGTGACAATACGTGTGCCTTATTTTTCTATGATTGTGTTAGAGATATGACCCAATGAGACCCAGATTCCTTCCAGGGGAAAACTTTTGAGCTCTGCACTGTACTATGCAGAGTTGGTAAGTTGGAAAATGGAAGAAATAGGGTCTCGTTGGTTGTAGCGAACACATTCATACAGTCAGATTACACACGTTTTTATTGTTGGCCGAAATGGTACATCTGCTAATCCATCGCGTGACTGTGAGCATCAAACTTACCAGCTCTGCACAATACTTGATGATGAATAACGAGGGTAATGAAAGAAATGGTGGTAGCTTGAGGGGTAGTTTGTTGATTTAGGATGGACCAGGAATTTGGGGTGCTTTGGGGCGTGAGACACGATGACCGAATGTTACCTGATGCTGCTATATTTTTAGGAGGGGTGTTTCTAGTAAATATTAGGGGATGAGTTAGGGTGACTGTTAGAGTATGAGTGAGATGATCGAATAGTGTTTGGAGCTTCTATATTTTTAGGGAGAGTGTTTTTTATTTTGAGAAAGGTAGATGTTGCTCTAAACTTGAAGACCTTTCTTGAGTACTTCTTCTTTGTATCGGTGTGTAGATGATACTTTGCAAAGTACACAAGAATCTTCTGTATCCTCAATTTTATTTTACAGTAAATTGCTATCCATAGCGAACTGTTAGTAAACTGATAATTGGGCCCAAATTTTTAGCTAGTAGTGTACATAATTTTGGGATATAAATATGTACGCAAAAATTAATCAGAGAAAGGGTTAGCCAGCGCGAAAATTTTAATAAATTTGACGAGAGCAAGTACCACACTTTAACTTTACTAAATTACTGAAATTTTCGCTAAAACAAATAAATCTACCCGTGCATTCTTATCAACATAAATTCTGCCATAATCAGCTAACCGAAGAATCGCTGAAAAACAACAGAATTACACACGCTGGCCAATGAAGACACAATCATGCCCCGCGTCCAATTAACTTTCGATCGATGGTGCACCAGCTAAGCTAGGAAACAGCGTCGGAAAAGCATCAGGTGAAAATGTATTTCTGAAAACTTACCAGGAAGCGTGAGGCCGCACGTGAGAACGTGTTCCGGTATGTCGTGAATGGTCCTTGGCGCTACCACGTCGTCCACTCTCTTTTTCGTTCCTGAAACAGGAGACAACGGGGATCTCGTTACTCCCGCATCCTTTACGAATCCGATCTCCGAGAGCTCGCTCGCTCGCGTTTGTATCTCAATCGACGAACGGAATCGTACACCAGCAGATTTCGGTAATCTGATATAATGCCTTACACGGGGGGTTTGCGTAAAGTGTCCCTTCGTGACAGTTGCACAAATATGACCGCGATCCACCCGTGAAAGGATATCGGATAACTTTCCCAACCCCGATTCAAAAACCGAACCGAGTGTTTCAAACCGTGCCGCTGCTCCCAATGCCAACTGACCTATCGCAAAACTCGCACGAACGCTGCTAATTTCAACCTTACCTTCCCTTCGCATACCTGCGCGACTCCTCAACAAATTCGGGCAAATTAAAGGGAACCTTCTGAAAGAGCTCGCAATTAGCATTCTCACCGTTCCACTTTCGTTTCGAATTTTAAATCGTTTTAACTGTGGACGCCTATCGTTTACTCTTCTCTCACGTTTTCTACTTTGTGTACGGGAGAGAATTAAAATTATGGAGAAGGGAGGGAATAACGCTTGATGCAAATTGAAGGGAACCATTCGAAAGAGGTGTCAATTGGGATATTCACAGTTTCACTTTTGCTTGGAATTTTAGATCGTTTCAATTGCACACACTTATCGTTTGCACTTCTTTCACATTTTTTTTTCTTCGTGCAAAGGCCGGAATAAAAACGGTGGAAAAATGGCAAAGGTTTTAAAAAAAGGCATGGAATGATTGGAAGATTAGGTCAAGTTTACGGGGTTTCAGAATGACACTGCTTAAGGAACGAAATAAGGACAACGAATCAACATTTTCACGGACAGGAAGTGAAACATTTAGTGGTAAATGCATTGCAATAGTACGATCATAAAAAAGCAGCAGTGAAAGAAGCTAGATCGAATAAAACGGCGACTGAAGAAAAACGAAGTCTAATCCTCTCTGTGGAATCACCGTTCCAATCGGCGCATTAAAATCCTCCAATCGAATGCTCGATAGTGATCCAGAGATCAGAACCCTCCCCGCCCGAAAAACAATTTATCGACCGGAGGATCACGAGGCACAATATAATACCAGCATCGAAATTCAATAGCAATTCGCCGGTCCATAAACAACGTCGAGACGCTTAAATCATCGACGCGGTGTTCAGCCGCGGCGTTCTCTATTCCGCGATTCGAATCTCGCCGCGTAGCGGTACTTTCCTGCCGCGATTTTTACGGCGTCGTGTTCAGCCGTGAAGCCACAGCCACAATAAACCATAAACCGCGGAGCGAGCGAGCGAGCCAACGAGCGTCTTAATTGCCTGCAATTAATTTGTCCACGTCGCGCGGTAGAAAGTGCATCCCGAGTCCGGTGGAATGATTATTGGAAGGCGAAAAGTTGCGCGAGCCTCGACGTTCACCTTCGCTTCGACCAGTCGAAGGTGACACAGAAGGGTTAAGAGGTGAGATTAGGCGAGACTCGAGGTAAAATTACGCGTTTACGCGTGGGACGTGAGTCTCTCTATTGGGAATTAATTAAGTGGTATGTTTCCTTTTCGTTTTTATACTTGGAATAGTTAACACACTCGAGATCGATGACCCGGGATATGGGTCACGCGATGTAATAAAGATTACGCGAGGGATAGGGACGTCGACTGCCCGCTTAGATGGAAATCCCTCGTCTGCGCGAAAAACTGATGTCAGGACAGCAAGGGGACGATTTTATGCCAACCGCATATTAAACCGTTACTTTTAATTTAGCAGACCGGTCTGCAGCCAACATGCGGCACGTAGAATTTCTCAAATATTAAAGAATAGGCTACTGTCCAGTCGGTAAGGCAAGGTATCATAAAGTCACCCCCAAAGGGTCTTCGGAACCGATGCAATTACCGAGGTCTCTCGGTACCTGACCTTCCGAACGAGTCGGAGAGTCAGAGTTGACCTGGCCGGGTTTTCCCCCCTTCTTGTCAAATTTCCATCCAGCAATGACCAGCTTCGTCAACCAAGGACGTGACGCGCTCCGGGCGCAATGGGTGATACGGGGTTGGTCACTTACAAATTTTAAGAACCTCCCTTCGCGTCCCTTCTTCAAATTTTAGAAGATTTGGAGAAGGGTCACCTTACTGTCTTTATTTCTTCTATCATAACATCGCGTGAGACTCGTGAAATTTTTCCCGCGAAAGATATAAGAAGCGCGAGCCAGGGTCGTTCTATGTTTATCGGGCGAAACATAGAGCTCTCGAGAGTATTTCTCGCGAGTAAACACTGTGCGTCTGAGAGCATCGCTCATCTGTCTGAGAGTTGACCAATTTTTCGAAATCTGAAAAAATTCTGGGACACTTAAGGAAGTCTCTACTTGTTAGTTTTACTCGTAAACCAAACAAAAACTAATCTCTTATTCTCTTGATGAACGGAGATACCGTTTCTCACACTGTTTATCTGAGTAAGGTGATAACGCACTCCTGTTAGATGAGGTCATCGGTGCCTCGTGTCACCGGCTCTGCGTGCCCGGTAGAGCCAGTCCTCTCAAGACATTAATAACAGAAGGAAGTCAAAGGAATAAAATATTCAAGTATTAAAAGCTGAAGCAGTCTATTTAAAACCCATTTTCCCAACACTACTACATTGTACAATTGTTCGTTAATTAAAATTATCGAGAATAGATTATATTTTGAATTTTTACTTTACCTACTGCGAGTTTCTCTGCTTAACGTAGGCCCAGGCCGGGCCATAAAAGCCACGGGTCCGCTGGGGCAATGCCGAGTATATAACAAATGTTTTTCCGCATTTTATGTAGTCGTGCGACAACCCCGAACTGAATAACTGTTTTTCACTCCGCCTCCGTTCTTTTGTATTTCATTTCTATCAATAAACGTTTTTTTTTTTTTCTCTGCAGTTGATTGAGTCAATCTTTATTCGCTAATTAAAGATCCTCGATAAAAATGTTCCAAACTTTCTTAATAAAAATAAAAAGAAGATTGCGAAGAAATATCTTTCTCTTCCAAAGTTCTGACAGAGGCCTAAACTTCCGGAATATCGAGTCTACGCTTCCCACGATTCTTTTATCCAGCGTTTCGCACGATCGCAGACCGACCACGCGAATATTCAACGGTCGAACTCGTTACGCGGATAACGAGGCCTGTTTCGTCCTGCGGCTAACACAAACGATAAGGAGAGCAAAGGGATCGCCGAAGCTTATCAGTCTCTCTTTCAAATAGCGAAACTAAAGAATTAAATACCGGACTAAATAGGAGAAATGATTGAAAACACAAGAGAAAGGGAGAATTGCAAGTTATAGGACGTTAAACGAAACGAAGCTTTTACGTGAAAATAATTACCCTCCGTCTCCCCATAAAACTCCTTTCGCCCGTGTGGTATCACGGGGGAGAAGTGTAGAATCAAAGGCCCAAGATCGCAAGATCGAAAGCAATAAAATAGTAGAAAAATGGAGAAAGAAACGCGAACTCTCAAGACGATCGACGATGAAAGTGAAATAGAAAACACTGCGGGGTGGAGGAGAAAGGGCGCGAAAAGGCACGCGATTCCGATGATCGAACCGCGCGCCTCTCGATCTACCTGACGCGTCGTTGATTAGCGACCGTTCGAACATCCTAATTTATCCCGTGACGTCCAGCAACAACTCCGCGACTGCTTCTTTCCGTACGATTTAACACGTTACGATACATCCACGACGGCAATTACGCGGCGTGTAATAATCCAGGCGGTCGATAACGATTGTGATTAAAATGATCGTGCATAAAATTATCGAGCGTACAGCGTGAAACGTTCGTTCGAACGAACGAAGAAAAAAGGAAGAAACTTGAAGTGTAGCGTTTAATAGATAATAATCTGTCGGAGTAACGAAACGAGCAAAAAGAAAGAAAAAGAAAAAGGGGGAAAAAAGTGGTGATTTCTTAATCGTAACTTTCGCTCTTCTCGTTGCTTGAATTTCTTCATGATGGTAAATAAAATATCCGATCACCTATATTTAAATGTACTCACTCGTTCCGTACACCGTACTTAGTTACCCGCCAATTAGTTCCCGGCTAATCTAATTACCATCCAGTACAAATTCTCGCTCTCGAGATATGCAAAGTGCCCTCGAGGCGAGCGTCGAGCGGATTCATCGCGTCCGCCTGACAGTCAACCGGGGGATTTCTAATTTCCAGCGACGACACGCGCACACACACACATATATAGGCGCGTGTGGAGGGAAGAGATCGTCGAAGAAGGAACATCGCGTGGGTCAACGATCGTTCGGTTTTCCGGACGATCGTATAAGAGGTACCGATTGCCCGACGTCACGCGAAGGAAACAGCTGATGCGCTTGCTTTCGATGCCCCAACCTGGCTGTTCCCCCCGCGATCCACAACGGTTTCGAGGGAGGCTTCCTGAGGAGAAACGGGCCTGGAACACGCGATCTCCTCTATTAAGACGATATTTCGCTGTGAACCGACTCGGCAGACCCCCATTGTCCGCTGACTCCAGTTAGAATGTATTCGAAGAGGATCTGTTCGTGGCTGGTGGGTATTGTTTCACGAGGTGGATTGTATTTGCTCGGAAATTGGTCGGACGATCGAACTTTCTAAGGGATGAGAAGTAATATTGGGAGAAATGGGAATTTTCTGTTGGTTGAGTTAACCCTTTGAGGACGATAGACTCGTCACGATGACAATTTTAAGCAATAAAAATAGTTGGAGTGGTCGTGTACCTATATTTGAGGAAATTGAAATTTTTATATAATTTAGTTTGAAAAAAAAAAAAAAATTGTCAGTCATAGCATCCTCCGCCTGTAAAGGGTTAAACTATGCAACTACGGTGACGATTTTTCGAAAGAAAAATTTTTCCTCTGCTCTATAGTGCATCTTGAACGCTACCTTTTTCTTGATAATGGTGATTTTTGCAATTCTATAAATATTAGAAGATACGTGGGACTCATACGATCCACACGGTGTGAACGGCAATCACCGAAAATCAAACCGAAAGTAAACGATTGATCCAAGAA